GAGGTTTTTAATAATGAAAAATTCATTTTGTTTTCTTTTTTTTCTAACACCCCTTCATTCTTCTTCAATAAACCAAGAGGCATAAACTCAAATATTTCAATAGAACAATTGATGATTATTTATAATGAAAGTAATGGAATAGCAACAAGTAGTGAAAAAAACAATTAATGTTATTGTTATAGTATAATTCTAATAGAATTATAATAAAGAATTAAACACTAGAAACTTGAAAATCAAATTATGTCTGCTCATTTCTTCAATGTTAAAGCATCAGAAAATGGCACTAAGTTTCACTTAGAAATTGAAGAAGGATTAATGTATGTTCTTACAACGATTTCTGTTGCTAATGGGGAGTGTGTTGTATCATTCGAAATTGAAGATGATGAGAGTGATGAGGACAAAATGAAAGAAATTCATATTGCACGACTTTCTCAATCAGTTCCTATGGAATCACTTCATCTTGAATTTGATTTACAATATGTTGACTTTGTAGTACGAGGGAGTGGTGAGGTATATTTCAATGGGTATGATATAATTGATCCACGATTCAGAGACTATATGGATGAAGATATTGAAGATGGTGGATTTGAAATGAACACAAAATAAAAAATACCATTATTTCATTGATTGATTGATTTGAAATTCTTCTTTGTTTTATTATAACAATAAATCAATTATGATGAAGGTGTTATTGTCTGAAAGAATTTATTCTTCTTTAACACCATTTTGGTGTTGTTCTTTTTCAGAATTATCAACAATAAGTAAAATTACTCCTGCTATAAGAATAATCATTCCCAAATACCATTGTATCGGAATATATTCTCCTATTAATCCTCCAATAATTCCAGACATAATAAATCCTGTTATTGTAGATGTAATTGTTGCTGTAAGAGATGGTAATTCACTAAGTGCTTTTGCAAAAAAAAATCCTCCAGCTCCATTGCATCCAAACATTAATACAACACACAAACACCTTATAACAATACTAAATTGGCTCTGTGCAAAGGGAATGTATGAAGATGTAATTCCTTTACTAAACAATCCTCCAATACTCCCAGAGATACCAGAAAGTAATGGATATTTGAATCTCCAAAATCCTTCCATTAATTCAATAAAAGTTCTTTCTTTTGAAAATAAAAAGAGAAGAAAATGAAATAAAATAATCCTTTAATTCAAATATGAATTTAAAGTGGAGAAACATAATTGTATGGGAAATATCCTTGTTGTCCTTTTAATTCTCCAAGCCACCAATCTCCTTCTTTCTTTAGTACTGTAATAATATCTCCTTCTTTAAATGATAACTCTCCTTGTTCTTGTGCTTGATATTCATACTCACATCTCACTTGTTCTTTTCTTGATGGTGGTGGGGGTGGTGGTCTTTTTCCACTAGATGTACTTACTGTTGTGGTAGTTGTTGTAGTGCTTGTTGTTGTAGAACTTCCTGAATTTTCAAATTCTGATGGTTCATATGTTCCATCCATAACATCACTTGATTTCTTTGAGAAGACATTTGCATCAATAACCATTGAAGATTCTCCTGGAGTAATAATTGGTGCTGGGTCAAGTGCACAAATTCTGAAATTACTAGAAACTTCTGAAGCTTCTCCCCAATAATTATTTAAATGATTCAAATAATCTGTATAACTAACAATAAGAGTCCCACAAATTGGAGAAACAACTTCTTCAGCAGAAGATGTTAATTTTTCAACATCAGCAATAATTTCATTTCTAAGGTAATTATAAAGGTCTCTAGCAACATTGTATTTGTTCTGTGCTTCTCCAAGTCCACTTTGTTTTCCTGGTGGTTTCTTAGAAATGCTGAGAACTGAATCATGATATCTATCCATATCAACTCTTCTATTGTGACAAATTTCAAATCTTTTTTCCATTACTTTGAATTGTTCCATATAAGTTTTTAATGGAACAATAATATCACTTTCAATTCTTGTTTCATATGTATTAACTCCTTCATCAATTTTTTGGAATGTTGAAATAATAGAATCAATATCAGACTTTGTTTCTGGACTAGTATTCACAACACAATCACCTAATGATGTTAAAACTTCAACTTGCATCAAATTAGTAGCATGTACAGTAGGTGATAACTTCTTGATAACATCTAAAATATTCTTAAACTTTTTATAAGACTCATTAAGTTTATTCTTAGCATATTGAACATCACTATCCATAGTTTTTTGACCTGCACCAACATGGGTTTTAATTTGATAAAACTTTCTTCCAAATGCGTCTCCAATTCCGCTCATCCCTTAACTA